TGTTGCCCCTTAAGGCCTCTAAACAGGGGCGCGCCTTTCGGGGGGCCTAACAAGCCTCCTGAACCCCACAGTGAAGTGAAGAGCGAGAGCGAGAGCGAGAGCGAGAGCGAGAGCGAGAGCGAGAAAGAGAGAGAGAGAGTGGAACGGCCTGGGGCAACTCAACTCAAGGAACATGTGTTATTCCAAACTTCTCCCCTCCACGGCCTACCTTTCTGTATGTATATATATATATATGTATGCATGCATGCATGTGTATACATATACATATAACTGTGTAGAAATGTGTGTGCTAGATAGATAGATAGATAGATAGATAGATAGATAGGTAGATAGAGAGACAGGTAGACAGACAGACAGATAGAGACACACAGAGATAGACAGACCGTTCGACAGGTAGATATGTTATGCCCATGTGCATATATGCACATCTGTGTTTGGGTGTCTATGCGGGGAGAGACGGAGAGAGGGAGGGAGGGGGATGCGCAAATGCTCCCTACAATCACCATTCGAATCATGCCGTCTATCGTAAAGTTGAAAACATGTGTCTGCACGTCTCGTGCTTGCGTCCAGGACCATCTTTTCCGGGAACAAGTGGGTTCGAAAGTGAGCCCCTAGCAGGGACACATCCAGAGAGTGGCATTGTAACATGACTGCAGAGCCCTCTAAGGTAGGTGAGCATGGAGGTCCTTCAGAGCAAGATGCAACCCCCTTTACCATTATTGCAGGCTTGCGCTGTGCGATTGGCGACGCTTTTCGGAGATTGGCCTTGGAGGCAGTGGCCAAGTGTTCAGAGACTGGAACCGAAGTCTAAAACGTCGGGGCATGTGTGGTCGCCTTGCGTCGACAACTATGACTATGCCTGCTGACACAAGCTTTTTCAATCACCAGGCTGGGGCGATGATGCCAGACATCGAGTGCAGAAGGCGGTCCGAGCAGGGGTTGCCATGAGCAAGGGCTCTAATGGCCAAAGCTTGCCAGACTTTCCCAGTGCCTTTTCAGAGCAGGTCCTCGACCGGCTCGACGGTGGCCGTGCGCTGCCCAACGAAGAAGCCTATATCGATGCGATGCAACGGGAGTACCCGGTGTGATCAGTCGAAAAAAGCAGCAACGCGGTTCTGCAGAGTGGGGTAGGTTTCGGTGCGTCCTCTGCTCTGTCTCAATTGAACGTCCAATTGCCAGTGTGCCGCCAGGCATCACGCAACTCTCGACTTCGTTCGTTGACACCGTGGCTCGGCTTGGCCTGTGCCGCATACTATCATTCACGATTTTCCAATAGTGACAGCTAGTGAAGTGATATTAGGACTACAGATCCATGTCAGTTGGCCTCCGACAGCTGACTAACAAATCTCCAACCAAACAGAACTTGAGGCGGCGGCATTAGAAACTCGACAAGAAGGCTTCGCTTGCATTTGTTCTGTGCAGCGCACGACAGGCCGACCCAGCGGGAGGCGGAGCGCGTCGCCGCCAGGGCCTTTGCCGCATTACCCGAAGCGAGTTGAGCACAACCGTTCGGGTTGAAGAGCTGAATCCATCAGGTCACCAATCAACCATGGTGAGTAATTATAGCGGTTCTCCTGTACCATGTTGTGTACACCGAGTGCTATAGCTGTGCGCCTTATTTCCTTATGCCTCGAGCAAGTCTCGTTGCTCACGTCTCCGGGCACTTGCGGCAAATCAGGCGACGAACGATGATGCTGACGGCTCCAGTGACAGTGAGGTGCTGGAGCTGGTCGAGCCAAGCTCCAAGACTTTTTTTGAGATAAGACCGCAACCCTGGGAGCTGCAAAACGGTATAATAACCTTCGAGGAACTTGTGGTATCCTGGCTTCTTGGCTTCGGGATGCTTCCGGCACATCTACTGTGATTGCCGAAGGTCCTAGGATGTCTCATACTGTCCGAACTGCCCACCATGGCCAGTTGAACTTTCGAATCATTCGATTTCAAGCTGTCACATTCTTGCTGTTATCACCGGTGCCATTATATTTGTTATGCCAAAGCAGACTGCGTGGCTACAGAAAATGCCAGTCAACACAGGGCTCGCTGACTTCTTGGTTGAGTGCTGGTTCGCGACGCAGAACACGCCGTGTTAGGACGGTTCGGAATCGGGCCACGACATGGAGCCATGAGGCCCGCCTATGCCAAACTACGAGCTTACTTCTCAAGTTTGCATCCTTACTGTCTTGTGCACTCTGGGTTGCACAGCAATGCCCAGCTGCACATGTGCTTGCATGCCCTTGGAGACACTGAGCCATGCCAGGCCCACAAGAGCATCATGGACAAGCTTGGCATCCAACTGCACGAAGGCCACGGCTGCTTCGCTCCGGCTGCCGAATCATGTGGAGGGGTGGCAGACACGACTGAGCGGCATCTCCCAAAGCTGCAGCCAGCTGCTTAGTCGCCTCAACCTTGCGGAGGTGCTGATGTTTCCCCTCCACGAGCGACTTTTCAAGTGCGACGCTGGGAGCTCAGCCAGAAAGTGAGGGTTTGTTTCGTGTAGTGTAATGCTAGCATATGCTAGCCTGCTAATGATACTTTGCCACAGCATCATGCCATTCCTGTCAATCGAGTTTCGTCTTGCAGACGATGTTTTGTTTTTTCTCCGAATTCCGCATGTGCAGACGCCTGTTGCGGTTTTAGTCTCAAGCGCCCCTGGGTTTTGATTTGCGGACACTTCGCAGCCTTCCTCGGAGCCATGTCTCGCCCGGACCCGTCAAAATCAGATTTCGAAGCTTGGCACTTCAGTTGGACTTGCAGAATGCCACATGTGTTCTTCAGGCATGGGATTGGGTTCCATTCCAGTCATGTCATGATCCAGAAGAGGCCTTCTACCTTTGCTGCACGTTTGTTGCATGCATGCCGCGGAAAGCCTGATTGTTATTTGTATGATCAGGGCAGTGATATCGAAATAGGCTCTGTGGCTGGGTGGCCTTCATTGCACGGGAGTGCTAGCTCTGTAGGCTTGAGACCTCGAGGGCTCTAGGCGCTACGGCAAGCCGAGGCCAAGATGGGCATGGAGAAGACCAACTTCTTTGTGGCTTTTCCCATCATGCAGCTAGTCTTCTCACTTCCCGGGATCATCGGGGCGTTCGTTGCGATCAGGCAGAGCCCCTTTGTGCAGGTGCGCTGCCCTCACCGCGAAGTGTTCCACTGTCCATGGAAGCGAAAACTCAAGACATCAAGTGTTTCCTGACGAGGGGCGTATTGAGAGCATTGCGACCATGAGCGCGGGCCCTTTGTACCTTTCAGTCTTCTTCATGAGCCTCGTCGCACTTTGGTATTTGGAGTACTTTGGGGCCACATCTGACGGCAGCAGCCTCTAGATAGAAAACACGCCATCGCTGTGAACCGATTGTCCGGTGAGCATTATCTCAAGACATGTCTAACCCCATCGCCAGCACAGCACGTAATTAAGCAGATTGTTCGGTGTAAAGTCGGGTTGGGTGACATAATCTACCGTCCAAGACCTCGCTTGCATGGACCCTTTCGGAAACTGTCTGATGCTTTCAATCCAGGAGGATCACACTTGGGCTGATGCAAGCAAGCCTTGGAAACGCCCGGCGAGACAGTGGCATAAACGTGCCGGACCCTTGCTGCTAGCACGTCTGCATGCAGCACGCTCTGGGTCGTTAGGGTACTGCTTGTGGTGAACATGCGTCCTGAATGTGAAACATCATGTGGCGTTTGAAAATGGTCTGGCTGTCTCTGTATAGGACAAGGAGTGTACCTGTCGCAAGGCTTGACTCACCGGTTAAAGCACCTTCTTCCGGAGGGATGTTGCAGCCTGAAGCATGCCAAGTCCTACATACCAAGTGCCGCTCCATGTGAAGATTTGTCGCTCAGCCCTCATGCAAGCTTAGCTTCGCAGAAAAACCGAGCCTTTGCAGGACCAGCACGCCTACAAGGTGGTTGGCGGGACCGCTGACGGGGCACTGGTCGGGGGCATCAGAGAATGCAGGGTATGGCAGGGTAAGATCCAGTACCATTGCTTGAAATCGAGGCTTGCTTCAGTGATGCATTTCGGCGACTATCAGGTCCTCATGGATGACACAGAACCGTTCGGGCGTTTCAACCGCGCTCAACGTGGAGTCCAGAATCACCTGGAGCAGGCAGAGTGCCGCTAGAACTTTTCGGGCCCGACTGCAGTTCCTCTGAGCTAAGCAGCTTGGGGCCTTGGGGCCTTGGGGCCGTTGAGCTGATGGGCTTGGCAGATCTTCCCCATGGTCTTGGAGTTCTTTCTGTCTGGCTACGTCTTCCCTTGGACAACGGCGGCTCTGGCTTCTGCCTGGGCTGGCCTGCGCTGCGACTGGGAAGCAGAGAGCTGTTTTTGTCGGATGGCTAACCCACATCGCCCCGCATCACCCCGGATCAGGGGTTTTTGTAACAGGGCTAGGCAGGCCAGGATGAGGTGCGGGTAAGGCACAGAAGTGCAAACCGCGGTTTCACTCGAGGTCAGAAGGTGGTTTCATCCCGCCCTCGTTTGCAGGCTGGGGTGCCTTGTCGTACGCCAACGATCGCTTGGCCCGGATCAAGGCATGCACTGCCCGCTGGACCAGCTGTCTGTCATCATGTGAAACACCCGCATTAGAGCAAGCTAAGCAGCTACTGCCTGTGGCCCCGAACTCTGGGCAAGGGCAACCTCCCTTCCAACATGTTCTTGGGCTCGATGGCGGGCATCGTCGTCACAACCGGAGTCTTCGCCAGCTTGAAGTGATGGAGGTAGTGATTGATTAATTCCGGAAACAGCCTGCCGTTTAGTTGGTAGTCACTAGTCGCGAAATGCCTTAGAGAGATGATAAAGGCGTGGACAGTCGCAGAACGAAAGCGGCGAGAAAATGGAAGCACTGCTCGGATCGCGGTGTCTGGATAGTCACTGAGATGTGCATCGGAGGCTTTCGGATTTGGGTGGGCAGAGTTCATGCACCGATCTCTTCGGCCACCCAAGCTTCGACACGGACTTGTTTACCCTCATAGGCAGAAGCAACGCTGAGTCGTACCTCCCTGTTGCTACTTAGAATTGACACAAAGAAGTAAAGGCGGGAGATATTTATAACAGTTTGAGAAGTGCCGCGCGGAAGCTACAGTCCTACAGCAGCCAGGTGGGAGTGCCATGGTGTGAGCACGAAAGATTTTAAGGGTTTTCCACCTGAGCGGCCGCTTTTTCATAGGGGCAGCCGGGATATGGGTAGACACAGCTGGCTACGACATCTTAGCGGCGGCATCATTGTAGGCACTGCATGTAGCTAGTTCCGTCAGCATGGAGCCTGCATGTACAACATAAGCAGGAAGTGTGAAGATTGGTTTGCTATCCGTTTTGTGCGAGTAATGAGACATACCATTCTTAAGGCATGCGCATATTTGGTTTTGTGTTTTTGTGTTCCGTTGCTTGCAGTGGGCCTTCGCTTTGTGATGCTTTATGCTTTCTACTTGGCACCTTCGGCGTTAACTGAAACAAGAACCCGCCCTTGGAGAGCACTTGGCCAGCCGTGTAAGTTGATTCGCGACGGACAGCCTGTGCACTTTTCAATGCTGGATTCTATGGGTGTATCAAATGCTTGTACAGTCCTGTCGCGGAGTTGGTCCGGACTCATTGGCTGAATCTGGCAACCACTGCGTATGCATGGGACGAAGGCAGCCGCGATGAGGGTGGCTTTGAGGCCGTGCAGCTTACAGGCGGAATCACCAAAGGCGGTTTCCTGCAATGGTGACCGGAAAAGGCTTCTTTCCTGAAGATACTTACGTCATGCATGTTCAGGATCGAAGCTATGTCAGCAGCTATGTGTCACTACAAGGTTAGATGAAGGTGTGCTTGCAACAGCTAGTTACTGGGGCGTGCCACTGTACCCGATGTGCTTTAGGCCATTCAACCACACAACGTCGTTACACCGGATTGTGGTGGGCGTTCGGAATAGAGGCAATGCAATCGAGCTGCGGCCCCTTCAAAACTTCAAAGACCCTCCCAAAGGCCGAGACTCTTAAATGCGACGGAATCCTCACCGACCTGTCCTGTGAGAGTCGAGACCTAGAGAAGTGAAGGGGCTGTGGCTGTAGCAAGTGGAAGGAAACTGGAGTGCTACCGTCAGCCCGGCCACAGTAGAAGAGTACTTTCCTGGTCACGTGGTGCTGTAGGGATTGGTCTGATGTTGGTACCTACATTCGAGCTACTGAGAGAGTTTGTCGGTACACCTGAATAGACACGCTCGATTCTGCATGTTCAGATCGCCGCGCCGCATGGACACGTCGGGACGAAGCAGAAGGAATTGTGAGTTTGAAGAAATTCAACATTCAATAGCTGCAGTCAGACCATGAGACTTCTCACGCAGATGCATTGGACTTGAAGCACTTCTCTCTGACTTCAAGATAAGCATTAAGCGCAAAACCTGCGACACTCGCGGTGCAGCTGCAGCATACCGAACAGGGCAGCAGCCAAGGCGCCCCTTTTGCCCTCGCTGAGCCTTGCTCCGCTGTGTGCTCCGCCCGAGCATGGGCCGTCGGCAGCGGCCCTGCATGCGGAGAGTGAGGTGCGTCCAGGCCAGGACAGACCTGTCCCCTGTGTAACTGGTGGGTACCGAGACACTCCGGGCCTTCTTCCTGTTATCGTTGCGAACGTTTTTGCGCTTTGGAAGTGCCTGCGGCTGCAAAGCGTTGCAAGACAGGTCGTGGCCGTGGAAGATGGCTATTGAGCATGGATTCCTCGAGCCTGAGCTGCACTCCTCCCTTGGTGGGGAGAGGTGATAACGGAACTCGCAGGGAATCTATCAGCCGAGGGCCGGCCCGGCTTCGCCCCCTGGCACTGGCGGGACGCTCCTCGAGGCGAACTTGCGAGACGGTCGCTTCTCCCATGCGCCGGCTTCGCTCCCTGTGGAGGTGGAGGTTTCTGAGGCCCCGCACGTGGTGGTCGCCGTGCGACTGCGGCCGCTGAGCAGCGAAGTGTCACGGGCCCGGTCCGGAGCCACTCTGCGGCGACGCGGTGATTCCTCCAGCTGAGCCGCAGGCCCTCTGCTGTGCGCGCCACTGACAGCAGCCTTGCCTGCGACTTATACTGTCACAGCCTATATGATGGATAGTCTACCAGCACCATGGCTCGTAGCCAGGATGTGCAGTTGGGAAATGGGAAACCGAGGTGATTCCTTACAAGGGCCAGGCTTGCCTGCAAGGGCGAAGCTCTGGATGTTCGTTTCATTCGCGACTACCAGTAGCATCCAAGACCGAAGTTGTAGCAGTTCGGTGTGTGCCCAGAATCTGGAAGAGGAGTCGACCCGAATCGACAGCAGGAACACCGCTACAACTTTGACCACGTCTTCGATGAGGATACAAATCAAGCCAAAGACTTAGAACCAATCGGCTGCAGGGTAGCATCATAAGGCAAGCTGGTGTAGCGCTCCATTCTTCAATATTTACCATCTCCACAAGAGTTCGGTTTTGCGGGTCGGTTCGCGGGTCGCGGTTTTCCGCGGGTTCGGTTCGACCGACTTCCCTGACGTGATTCATTCGGTGCCGACTTCACCACTCTTTGTAAGGGACCGTTCTCACACTATGCATAGCCTGCAGCGGCTGCGACATTGCAAGAGCAGGCTTGACTCACAAACTTTATTAGCAATTATTAGCTGTTTCTGCTCCACTTGCCTGGCTTTACATCAAGAGATCATGCATGTTGCTACATTTTGCACTTCCTGACTTGCCTCTGAAAAAAGCACTTGCGCCATGCCTCATAGAACTGCCTCGATTGGGAACATTTGTGTGGCAGTGTGGCCAAAGTCTCCACAAGAGGTGAGAGATACATGCGGGGCATGGCAGGGGGGAGAAGCTGACTGTCGGAAGTTTGCACGTGTTGCGCCACGGGCGCTGGTCCTGAAAGCTGATCTCCTTGGATAGCCGAGTTCCGATTCCCAAAATTTTTGAAAAGCCAGGGTCCCAGATTGAGTTCCGAAAAGCATGGCAAGGAAGCGGTGTTCCTGACTCTCGGTCAGCCGCAGCTCGCAAAGGCTTGCGACCTTGGCATTGAAATATGCAGGGGCATGAATATTGGGACATAAATCGATCGCTTCAGACGTTGAAATTATGGCCGATTTCCTCCTGCACTGCAATTTGACATGCTCACGTGCTGATGCCTGCTCGGAGGCTTTCGAAGGCTATAACAGCACGATTTTCGCTTATGGCCGCTGGCTCATCATGCTACGTGCGTGTCGACGGGGTTTGAGGTGCCTGACTCGAGCTCACATTGAGAATCGCGTGGGTGCGAGCCATGAAAGCTGCATGTTTTGCATTTGGGAGCCAGTCGTCACGAAGTGCAAGTCCTCATTGGTCATGACGATGGGCAGATGCTTTTGCATGCCGAGGCCAGACTGGTAGTGGGAAGACATACACTATGCTGATGCCCATCTGCATTGGTCCTTTTTGGACCGAGACGTTTCAAACTATGACCAGGTTTTTGATAACTCCTAGCTTGAGCCGGCAGGACTTGATGGTATTCGCAGGCATGTTTTTGTTTGGCAAACTCCTTCAGCTGCCTGGGGAGGCGCAGTCGGCTTACGTCGGGTTTGTGGATGTAGCAAGCAGGACAGGGCTTCTTCCATGACATGAGGGCCTTCCGGCTCTGCTTACTGTAATTACATGTGTGACAAAGTATCTAGCCCAAAAAAGCATCTCCTTGTTCAGCCTTGGCTGCAAGAGCTGGGTGAGATTCTGGGAATATACGAGTTACAGTTTTCCTGAGCACCAAGAACCAGCCCGCCAGTCCGACTGTCTTTTCCGAGTTTATCTCTGCCAGTAAAGCTTAGATACTGAGGAACGTTGAGAGCGACCGACGTCACGCTGCCTCTTGGAAGAAATCAGATTTAGGTCCGATATTTCTGCAACCAATGACATCAGCATGATTTTTGGCATAACAGGAGCAGCTAGGTTGCTGTTGTCATGGCGCTGCAGGATCTGGGCCTCATCCCCAGGATGAGCAGCAGCTTGTTCCAGCGAGTTGCCGAGGCTGCGGCCTGAGAAGTGCTTTGAGATAGTCCGCCAGTTAGAACGCATTGTGCAGAGGCGTCGTGAACATGTCCTGAAGCAGGCAAGCAACGGGAGCAAGACAAATCGCTTTTTGGTGCAGTGCAGCTTCCTGGAAATCTACAATGAGGCCGATGCTTCAGGGAGCGATTCGTGGAACCCAAGACCCGTATTGCCGTATTGAGACATGTCAGCTATTGCATGGATTCGAAAATGTTACCAGGCTCAGTTTCTCTGAGCAGGTCATCTACGATCTGTTGACACCACGCAGCTTTGGCCCAAGTGGACTGGATTTTCGCAAGCGTCGTGTGAAGGGGTTTAGCGACAGGAAGGGCACGGGACGAACGTCCGCTTGCTGCCACGAAGTTCGTCAGCACCTTTGTCTTGAGGTCGTGCCAGAGGCAAGGGATTGGAGATTCGGGAGCAGAAGGCGGGATCTTGAGGTCACTCACACTTGGAAGTAGTTTCAGTTGCAACAGTTGGGCTGGCGTTGTGACAAGCTTAGTTCGCAGTGTTGACAGCCCTCACAACGGGTACTCTTGCACCGGACTGCTTTCAATGCCCAAGACGCAAAGCGTTTGGCTCGCTCTCGGGTACAGGGGACGGCATTCGTGGATTACAGGCGTCAGCTTGGCATAGCTGGGGGCACAAAAACGAGCCCTCCTTGTAATTCTTCTCAGATCTGCTCAAATGTGAAGACGCTGCAAAGCTGAAGCCCTGGCTCTCATTCCGACTCCTGCGATGGAGCCAGCTTCGCCCACGTCCGAGACTTCCTCATGGAGCCTCAACTTGCATTCCGCACGCAAGATTTCTGAATAGTCTCCTCCGTTTGTGCACTCCACTAGCTACTATCGGATTCACATGTCTGAGCTGATAAGTGTAGCTTCATTCACATGATGAGCCGTCCATGCAGTCTTGCAGCAGCTTCTCCATCCCCCAGACCATGCCCTGCAACTTGGGCAAAGGAGCGATGCGAAGAAGGCAGTGGAGCGACAGAGTACTCGCGCTATGGCATGGGGCCCCTTGGCCAGCAATGGCAATGAGGGACACTCTGTGCACAGTCAAATGGCATCAATGAATTACTATGTGGCTGGGGCTAGGTCGGCTAGGTTCTGGAGCCGGTGGCAGGGAGCATTCGTTGCACATGCTCAGGAGCTTCGATCCGGGAGTACAACCAGAAGAAGGTCGAAAGAAGCATGTCTTCAACGCAGACGCAGCTTGCCTGCAGTTTGCCGGGGGCATCGAGCTTGAGCTGCATGCCAGGGGAAGGCAGGGAGTGTGTACGCTCAGCTTATTGCAAACGAGTGACGACAAGGTCACAGGCTACCAAAAAGAAGTCCCGAGTACGATCAGAAGCCAGGGACTCGGCAGCTTCGAATGCTATGGCTCGCATTCCTGGTTCCTGAAGTGTCCATCGCTTGGTGTGGTGGACGACATATTTCGGCAGAGAGTGTTGTCAGAGGACGAGTTTCTCAGAATGGTGTGTATAGATTGTGATGATGGCTTGCCGCAGGCCACGTCCGCTTTACAAACTGCTCGCGCAAAGGACCCAACGAGGGAGCAAATTATTTCCCCACAGCGGAAGGCCAGGGGCACTCCAGCAGTTTTCAACAGCAAGACGAGAGCACAGAGCACTGTGGCACGTCCAAGACAACGGTCAAGGAAACGGCTCTGTGGCCGGAGCAGAAAGGCGCGGAAAATGCTCCATGCGCAAATGCAAAACATGCACATTCACACTGCAAAAGTGAGATGTCCGGGGTTCGCGAGGCCAAGTAGCTGGTGTCCTGTCATTCAGAACGATGAGCAGGTCGAGTTGGTTCGAGATGGTGTGCGTTTGACACTGGGAGGAACACGTGTGCTGCCCCACCCCAAATACAGCTCATACCCTCATGCCGCTCATGATGCTTGATTTCCCACTGTCTGCAAAAGGACCTTGGATCGGGGCACTATGAGTGAACTCTCGCAGGTGAGGATTCATCAACGGCATGGTTCCAAAGTGTAGAGGCGACGAGATGTAAGCTTCGAGCAGATGCGCAGCAAACCACAGTAGGGACTATCAGAAGCGTGTTATTTGGACTGCCAGCATCTATAGATAATCTAGTCGATTGACTGCACGTGCCTGTATATACTATACAGCACAATCAAAACATATCGAAAATGATGCAATCACCATGCTCGCGCAGGCCTACTAAAAGCTGGGTTCTTGACGAGGTCACGAGGGTACACTAGGTGGCTGAAGCTGGAAAGCATGCACCGCGTGCTACACTCATCCGAAAACTTTGCAAGATGCTGTGCAATGGCATCATGCCATCTGCTGCTTGCCGCCGCCAATCGCAAGATATCCCGACGAAATGCTGGAGGGGAGCATGCTGCATGCGGTGCCACGTGTTAGATGCTGCTGTCAAATGAAAATCGGATGAAGCACAGGGTGCAGCGAAGGCACATGAGCAAATCTCACGGTGTGCTACGCGAGAACCCACTTGCACCCCCCACAACATCCCACACCGCAGGATTGCACGAGCCACTTGGGTGAATAGGTGAGCGTCAGGGGTAGCTTGCACAGCTACCGCAGACTGCAGACTGTAGCAGCTGTCGCTGCGAGACCATTTGTGAGCCGCTGTAGTCTGCTGATAGCAGCCTATGCTGAGATTGAGACCTGGTTGCGGAGATATGTATGCTTCTGCTGCGGTTCTGGAGAAGGACGCTGTGAGGTTGCGCTAAGAGTTTCTGGGTCCGAAACTGAAGCTTCTCTTTGGGATTATTTGTGTTCTCTTGAAATAACGTCATCTCCTGCCGATGACAACGAATCATCCCAAAGTTCCACGGCCTGTGGATTCGCTGAACGCCCTTTGTCAGGAGAGCTGCCTCAAGCTGCAGCTTTGCTGAGATTGTGCTGTGTCCTTCTGCTTCCGATTGCACGAATACATGACTGAAATCTGAGTCTTCTTTAGTCGGGATACCCCAGAAGTCGGCCGGAGTTCGATAAGATATGCAGCCAGCAAGCTGCATTGTCGCGGTTACCGCCTCTGCCAGGCTATTGAAGCACGTAGACGTAGGCTCGGAGATTGCAGGTGACCATCGCGACCGATGTGGAAGATCTGAAGCAGAGTGTTCGGCAGAAGATCTCTAAGCAGACCTATTCTGTGAAGGTGCGTGAGGGGTTCTTTACAGATACTGTTGGGCATTCTGTCACGGGTGATCCACAGAAACTGCTTGCATTGGGCTGTCATGGAAGCGCGCGTCGAGCTCATTTTAGCTTCGTGCCGTGGACGCTGCCTGGAACATGCAGGACTACTACAAGTCGAACGGCATTTTCCAGCGGATCGCGAAGAGCAACTTCTTCGAAAACTTTACACTCTTCATCATTGGAGTCACTGAGTCGCATCTACCCATCATGCCTTCGTTGCTCAGCTTGACACGGTTTTGAGCTTACCGCGATGTCATTTCCTTGTCAAACCACACGAAAATTGGAAGGGTACCTGCAGTGCCCAGGGATTAAGTAACTGTTCCTCAAAACTCTCGATGCCTCACTACAGTACTTGTTCACGACAAAGCTGTTGGTCATCGCTGCTTCAGCTCCTCGCAGCCAGCACACTGCACACGGACATGGTGTCGCCAGGTGAATTCGTTGTGGCCCCTTGCCCGCACGCAGGGAGGGATGCGAAGCGTAGAGGGAGAGGAAAACAGAACAAGGTCTGGCATCGAGCTATAGTCTAAAATTAGCAATCCAATGCGAAGATGTTGGCATTTGTGGGTCCGTGCTGTTTCCGCATGCATGATTCCAACCCGGCGGTGTTTGTGTGCGGAATGCCTTGCAGCAGCTTCAGACGTGATTGCCTGCAGGATCTGGATTGACACGGACAACAACGATGCGTGTGGAGCTCACCCCTGTGCAAAGCACATGTCCTGACAAGTGGAAGACGTCTAGTAAACTGATGTTGCCCAGACTTCCAAACCCGGCAAGGGCCATCATCACGGAAGCGAAGATGGAGTTTCAGATTGCAGCTGTGATGCACTGGAGACTATTCAGTGCCTGATATTCGAGCCTCGAGCGAGCTAGAAGCCAATGGCTAGCGAGTATGTATGTGCTATTGGGCTATCCAGTGGCTTGCAAATTTTAAATAAGCAAACTACAGACTTACGCTGCAGCTTTAGGAACCCCTCAGCTTTGATCCAAACCCAAGCGGATCCCGGACCCAGCCCACCCCAAGCCAGCCGAAGCTCGCAGCAGCGTAGCGAGACTTCTAGTCGAGCCTGGCCTACTGTGGACATGACGGTGTGACGCCACGGCCAATTCAAAGGCATACATACATTGCATACAGTGCATTTACCTAACACTGCTGGCGTTCCGTGCTCTTCGGCCCTGGGAAGGTTGAGAACATTTTCTGCGCCTTCTTTGCGTTCGAGTGGGTTGTCCGGTGGCGGCCTGGCGGAGACAGCGCCTGTATCGGGCAGGTAGAGTGGATCGGAAGTTCAGAAGAATCACGAAGGGTGTGAGTGTCGTGGCTGGTGTGAGTGTGTGAGTGTGTGTGTGTGTGCTTATTTTTGCTGGAGGGCTCCTGGTCCTGCCTGCAGACGGCGGACCTTTGAAACACTCGGGATGTCAGCGGAAGTCACATCGCGGACGCACGGCAGGTTGCCCGACTTTTGCACATTGGTCTCCGAGGATGGCTTTTCGAAGAACTTCGTTTGCATTCAGGGATGCCTGGTGCGGGCCTCACGTGTTGGTCCTTCGGGCCATGCGGCCATGGGCTTGGTGGAGGTTGGCAAGGTTTCGATCCACCTCATACGTGGGAACTCTGCGCAAGTGACACAAGTTTTTACATTGATTATCACCTCCTGACCCAGGTTTGTGTTCGACACGTTGCTTGTGACCTTGATGATCCTGGAGACCTGGATTACGTGCACGGCTCTGCTGTTGAGGAACTGTTTGCAGACTCGTCTTCCACTGTTGGTGGCCTTGTTTCGAACTTGTCCATCCCTCACCTTCAAAACTTTGGAGTGTCGCAATCATGTCGACCTATGCTTCAGGCCCATCGTACTCGGGGTCCTCAGCATTTCCAGTTCGCAGCTTACAATCCTTTTTTCAGCACGGTCATGTCATGCCCAACGCCGTCCAAGCATCCTCCCGAGGTGACGGCATTGGGGATGCCTCTATACTTCGTCTCGTGCGGCTGCTCAGGCTCGCGCGGATGACACGGGTAGTCGCTTGGCCGAGTGGTGAGCCTGCCGTCACACAGAAGCTACACTTGAACTACGCTTCCCACAGGTTCCGATTGCCTTGCGTTCTCAGAACTCTCTCGGCTGATCTCAGGCAAAGCTCCTGCGCGCCTTCCCGGAAGTACTCATCATGATCAAAGGCACTGGGGTGTGCCTCATTCAACCTTGTCAAGTCAAGTTCGAGCGATTGTGTCTTCAACTTGCATGAGCTTGTATCTGCTATCCAGGCATCAGTGCGGCAGCTCGGTCGGTCTTCTTCACCATCTGCTTGCTCCTACTTGCAGAAGCCTGAAAATGCCAGAGAGCGAGAGAGAGGGAGACTGGGAGTGCAAGGGGGGGCTTGACCGCTTGACCTCTCCTTTGGCTGAGTGGAAGAAGGGAGACTGGGATTTCTGAACGCCCTGAGCAGTACAGTCACGCTGAAACATTAATTAATGAGAGGGCTCAGTCTACCCGTGCAGGCGGGAAGCACGGAGAGCGACTAGTATAAAGGGAGGCAATGCAGCACGTCATGAAGTTTCGCAGGGAGCATTGCGGCGCGCGAGGGAGTAGGATCCGCCTGGTTCCGTTTGACAGAGAGAGAGAGAGAGAGACGTACAGAATCCACTGGGTCTGCGACAGTTCGTTCATGCATATATAGAAACTTATTTACAGTAATAGGTACATTTCAAGCAGAGTTGGCTAGTCTTTATCTCGGGGCTTTGGCAGGGCGAGAGGGAAAAACTTATTTACTTTTCATGTCGGCCCACCACATTTGTTTTGCTGTGCTATGGTGCATATTGGATGGCTTGAATCCCCTTTAAAGTGTCACCAGGTCTCAAAAGCAGAAGATGCACGAATGCGGAAAGTCCGATCAGGTCTTGTACATTTTCGGCATCGCCTTCAGACAGATTTGCGTAGGCACACGCAGAGTTGACGATGACTTTCTCATGCTGTATTAGTGGCATCGACAACAATTGAGAGGAAGCGAGCTGACAGGACTGGGCATCGGAGAGGCGCGCTTCCCCACCGTGCCAGAGGCTATGCTCACCCTGCTGATCCACGGTGTGCCTCTGCCTCGGAGGCACTAAGAATAGGCCGCATGCATAAGAGCAAGAGCGTCTCAGGTTTATGGATGACATGGCCGAGCTGTCAGAGCCTCGGGATGGTGACAGAAGGCGACAAGAACTTTCCAGAAATCTACTGGAATCTAACGTATTCTAACGTGATGAATAGTCTCCTGCCAAGGGTGGCGGAAGTCAAGGGCGAAAGCTCCGTTGCATTCGGTCTGCCTGCGCCCGAGCTGTCAGGGTGACCTTAGTACCGGCACTACGTTTGAAGCGAGCTTCGAGGGTTTGTTCGTCACCATGCCGTGAAGTGTCCAGCATGTCAACACGACTGCGCAGCATTCTCAATTCTGCTTTCTCCCAGAGCCACATCCCTGAGGTTCATCATTTTTGTGCTGATTGTCCGGGCCTTGGCCTTTTGGTCGTGAATGACCTACCTTACGCCAGTGCTGAATCCATCACTGACAGTCCTCAAGCCTCAGAGTCCGGGCCAGGCCTCCATCACTCTTATGAACATGCTTATCGGACTCTCGGCCAGGATGTGATAGATTTGCCATGTTTGCTTTGAACTGTGGGGCCCCCTCGAAAGCCTGGCAAGCTGCAAAAAGCGGCTCGTCGTTTGTCATTGTGCTAGCGAGCTCTTAATCTGGGTCGTGGCCGATGCTTGTGGCAAGCTGTTCACGTGGACTGAACGGCGAAGGGCGGATTCTCTCGTTTGCTGCCGGGGCCTGCTCTTGGTACTGTCATCTCCGCCGCAAGAAAAAGGTAGACACGCAACGAAGAAGTAGACGTACATATATAGCGATGCACATTGAAGCGGAGAGATGGACTTACACAGCGATTTTGAGACATGTCTTCCGTACGTGCAGACGATTTTGTTCTTGAGCCAAGGAGTGCTTTGTGAGGTGGTGTCCATGGTGGGACAAAGCGAGCGCGAAGAGCTTCTTGTGGATCTCGTGAAGCGAGAGCTCTTGGACTCTTGTCTTGCGGGAGCCCGGGAGTTTCGGAACTCACACAGGCCAGCAAGTCAGCTGCTGAGTTGCCTCCGAGGATATCATCCTTGCAGCCGACGAAGTGACTCGCCTCTGATGTTGGTCTCTTTTCGATCCGAGGTTGTGAGATTCGCACACTGTTCCTTCCTTGCGCCTAAATACTCGCAGAAGTGAGTGCTGCTGACGGGACTGACTGACGATGCCAAATAATGTGTTGTTTAAAGGGTTCCTACTTGCAACGCGTGCAGCATGTCAGCTTGCTATACCTTGCTCAGGATGGCGATGGGTTGATGTCACACGCAGAGTTTCTGAGGACGAATGCATCGACTTGCATGCACAATGTAATCGTGCAAGTCTCCCGTCACATTGTCCTTTGCACCTAGCGTAGTCGTGGGGTCTCGAATTCGATTTGCAGGTGGGCCGAATGTGTTCAGTTAGATTGACGGGTGCTCCTTACGGGACGGAGCCCGTGTCACAGCAGCTCAACTTGAAGGGTCAGTGGCAGCAAACCCTTGCAGCTATGTCGGCACTGCAGTCCAGTCACGTCCGCTGGAGACCTGCTGCCTGCCCGAAGCCTCATGCCAATGATAAGCCCAACTGCCACAGCACCGTCAGGATATTGGAGAGTCCGGAGGGCCTCAAAGCATTGGAGACGGCTCGCGGGGGGGGGCGGGGTAGAGCACAAAGAAGGTTTTGGGAGTTTAGTCTGTTCTCCTGAGCCTGAGGCTTGGGGCAGTGCTACTCGCAAGTCTTTGCTTGAAGGTTCCAATGTCTGAGCCGATTATCGTTCTCGACGTTTAGATGCAGCGAGTTGGCTCGGTGCCCTTCCGCACCGCTCCGCATGTTCAAATTCACATTGCTCACAGTTCGCCGACTCGGCATAAGCTTTGACGTTGACCTGCTTTGCGCCAGGTCGGGGTGGATCCCGTGGGTCTCATCGACTATGCGGATCAAATTTTTGCGAAGGATTCAGTTCCTTTTTTCACCGGCGTGCCGCGGCGCTTCATTCATGTCTAGCCGAGAAGTGGATAATGCACTCGTGTCGATGCCCTTGCGAAGCACTAGGCCCCAAGGATGGAGCAGCCCTGCAGCTGTGCCGCTGTGCCTGCTTGCCCGAATGCCGGTGAGATGAGTGTCTGCAGCCGCAGGAGAACGGCGAAGAAGGAACGCAAGAAACCGTCTTGCCTCTTGCCGCCAGAGTATTTAGAAACGAGTATGCTCATTCGTCTTTTGTGGTACTCGTAGTAAACTTCGACTTCAGAAGCACACTGGCAGTGCGAGCTGTTCAACAGAGCGATGCCGTGCAACACTGAGGTTTTCGCATTTTATGAATGAGATATTGCAGCTGCGTGGCACGAACACCTGCACAGTGAAGGCTGCGGGGATGCAAGCAACAGTAAGAAACATGTACCGTGACGTTTTTTAAACAAGTGGAGGGCGGACAAGCCCCCGGAGCCACAGAGGTACAGGAGTACACAAGTTCTGTTTAAATCGTATATTTAAAAATAAGCTCCACCCTCCTCCACCCCTCCACCCCGCACCCCTCCACCCCTCCATCCCTCCTCCCCATCCACTCCAAGCCTCTTCCACTCCCCCCCACTCCACCCCTCCCTCCACCCCTCTACCCTCCACCCCACCACCCCTACTCCCTCGCCCCTCCCACCCCTAAACCTAAACCTCTCCACGTATAGAAGTTTAAATTAGTTTTCGTGCCTCTTGATCAAAACTCGTGGCTCTTG